AATCATTTATAGTTGTCTAAGTGTCTTTTTTAACTACTATTTATTGAGTTATTCAACCCCACTACAACCAAAGCCCTAAACCTGGCACCCTCCTCCCACACTGTGGATCTTCAACGTGCTCAAAGACTATAAATCATCAGCAGTCATTTTATCTCATCTCTTACGAAAACTGCAGAGAGGAAACAGTAAAGTCCAGGTCATATGTCAGATGCCAGTTAGATGGTGGTGAGTCCATCACCACCAACAACCACTCAACAGTCTGTCACTTCACCAGTTTTCCCATTCTTTGGAAATGCCCTGAACTCAGAAACATGAGTCCACGTGGATTGGAAAGACTTCAGTTTGACAGTTCTAATTCCCTTCTCTGGAACGTCCACCATGAAAAATATTGTTATCATTGTCATACTGACATTGTTCTTGGAGGTGACACATCCCACTCCATTTCAGCAGAGACACCATCACTGGTAGGGAGAGGGGAGGTTTGAACGAACAGTGTAATACACAGATAGACCAAGGATGCTGGTAAACAGAGGAAGGCCAAGGTGGAGCTCAGATGTATGAAAACTTGCTAATGTCTCCACTTGCAGTGATTCTGCCAAATAAATGGCTTCTCTTTACCTGTGGCATCTCCATCTGACCATAAAGTTAGAGGTAAAGTAGCCTAAGGTGAAGCCAAAGGTGAAATCTAAGGTGAAATAATGAATTATTTATAAGTTGTAGTTCATGTAGTTAGGAATCAGGCATTTCATTAGCTTGCTCTGTTTGCATCTTTCACAATCTGCCAGGACTGCAGAACTCACCATCTCAGAGATGCTTAAATTAAACATGCTACTTGGCAGATCTACTTCAGAGATAGTCACACAATACCTGTGTGACAGCTCCGCCACCACCGATACCCTGTGGTTTCAACTGGCATTTGCAGCACTGAAAGGACAAGCGGTTTCAAGCTGAGCCAAAGGTCAATAATGGCTCTGTGACAGATTCACATCCTCTGTGGACCAGGCACGGCAGAAGCCCTGCAGATAGCAACTGCACATCAGTGTTTGTGTTAGCATTACCTGCCTTCCCCTGCCATGCGTCGCATACGTATTGATTATGATAACAGGCAAGATTGGTTTGACTGATTTGCTTCCCATGCATTAAGAACACCACTGGTTGACTTCTCAGAAAAAAAAGCATGCTTTAGAAAACAAGAGAGCAAGAACGCCTTTCCGGGAAAGCTCAATTTTGCGAAACAAGATTTTGCCTGTGTCAAAATGTCAAAGTCCCTGGTGTTTTGTCAGATTTTGCCACACCTAATAGGCTCAAAAAATGTTTTGCTGGAAATTAAAAACGAGAACTTTTCATGCTGGAGCTTACAGCTCTGTCTGGTTTCCCCCATCATTGTATTTGTTAAAGCAAAGACCAAAAATCTACGCTCCTCTGGGGAATCAAAGCCTGACTGTCTGCATATTGGGGCTGGGAAAAGTGGCAAACTACTAAACAAATCCGGCTTCCTAAATTCCCCGTTCTCTTTTTCTTGCTGGCACGTGAAAGATTGCTCACAACATGGTTCTCGGGCAGAGCTGAAGGAAGGATTTCTGATGCATTCGGTAAGTCAACACAAACCCCTTCACCCAGCATTCTAAGAATCCACAATTTTGCTCTGAACTGCATTTCAGGAGTCAGGAGCTCAAAGTGCTGCCAGGACTTACCTTGAAGTGCTACAGATTTGTACTGAGCAGACACCACCACCCACCAGCCTGTTTTTCGCAGAGAAACAGACTCCCTCCTGTTTCTATGATGTGAAAACATGCTTTGTTTATTTCAGCCATCTCTGAAGAAAATCAAAATAACACTGGAAGAAGCAACATAATGTTTGTAGGTAGAAGTAATATCTTTTATTAGAGCATCTGCCATTGTTGGAGAAAACAGATAACCCCAGGGCAGTAAAGAAAAGCTTTTATTCTATAGCTGAAAGCTTATTTAATTATCCAGCTATATTATTTCAACCTACAAACCTCATTTTGTCTGTGTCATTAGACCATCCTGACTGCAAGAACATGGCCTCGAGAGCATTGCTGTCCATTCACAGCACGCAAGACAACTTGCCTACATTGCCACATGTTTGTATTCACTCCTGGTACAGACAGAGCTGAGAAATCACTCTTGCTCATCGGATGCTTACATCAGTGGGTGTCCACTTTTTAATATAGTGAAGGTGAACTGATATCTAAATTACTTTTGAAGTGGTATTTTTTAATATATATTATTTTTTTCTATTTTCCGACATTATTTTGTCATTTATTTTGCTATCATAGAATTGATGTGAACTGAACTCTGAATGGATTTAATTTTTATTTTAGTGGGAATGAGTTATATACTATAAGACCTTAGACCTTTGATCGTGATCGCTTGTGAAGAATATACCAACCTGCAAACAAGGAGCTCGGTATGTTGGTCCAGCACCACAGCTGAGATGAACCAATCTCACTCCACACAAAGGACAAAAGTCCAGCTATTACATCTCTAGTCTCATATTGAGGTGACCTGGAAGTTTTTGCAGTGTTATGAGCCCCCATCCCCTAAGAATTAGACCATGAGGCTGAGACAGACTGAGAACTTTCCTCAGCCAGGCAGTTCATCCGAGAGCCTACTTCATAGTTACAACATCAGAAAGGATGTTAAGTACTCACTAGCCCAGGCAAGACTGCCCTCCCAGAGGTGCCAGGCTACAATGAACAGCTCAAAATGCTTTATGAGCTGACATTTGGGTTTTACTGTTACACTGGAGCAGTTCAAAAGAAGCAATTTGTTCTGTGGCTTTATGCATTTAAGAACCAAGGTGCGGCACATTTATTGTGGCAGAAAAACAACCTCAGCCCCCTGCTCCCCTTGAAGCACAAAGAAAGTAAATGAAAGGCGAAGAAGTGAGCACCCAAGGTAGCAAAAGCTTATTAGTGAAGGGAACAGAAAAAATTGATCATTCTGACCTGTTCAGCAGCTGAGGAGGTGGAAGCAGGAAACCCTGGAGACATTACAAAGTGCCAGCAAGCCTGAGCAATCGTCTTTGTTTGTTGCTAATGAGCCATGGTGCTTTTTAATAATATATAAACCATTTAAAAGGGCTTGATGGGAAGACCAAGGAAGTCAGTTGAAACGTTGCTACCTAGAGAGAGGTCAGAAAACACTGAAATGTTTTCGTGAAATGGGGGAACAATGAACTTCTGCCAACTACAGATCTCAGCAAAACTGATGGGGTTTCCAGGGGCTCTCCCAGATGTTTGTACCTCCAAAGCATTATTTTCTAGCTGACCATCCTCCTAGAGGGTTTATCCCAAGCTGAAACTCTTGAAAACATCACAAGGGAGGCCCCAGATCCCTTGGGTTTGTGATGTTTTCATCAAGAAACCATTGGGTTTCTACCTGCAGGCGAAGCCCACAAGGTACCCAAGGATTCCTGGACGTCATTGCAATCCTTTCCAGGTTTTCAGGCATAACTCATGTAAGCCCTGAGGACACGTGCTCCAACCACCCTGGGTTTCCAGCCCCCAGGTAAGGAGTCTGAGGGACCCTGTGATCTCCAGTTTGGAGAGAAAAGAGCCCAGAAACTCTCACAGTAAGCAAAATAAATGGGCAATCCTGGCAGTTTCACCCCTATCATTAGCTGCTTTTAGCAGCAGAGAAGCTGCCAAGGCTGTCACATTCCCTGAAGAGCTGGAAATCATAAAAAGAAGTGCTTCATTTTTGGACTCACCATAGATCTTTGCAATGTGTTCATGGGATTTCACACTTGTGGTATTTAAGGGGAAAAAAAAAATCTGATTCCGATCAAAACTTTACTAAAAACAAAATGAAACATCTACGGCATGAAAATCCCACTTTTTGATCAATATGGCTTCTATTGATCACAGAGGGTTTTGCAAGACAATTATCACGGCACTCCACATACCTTTAGAAGACATTTCACCCTTGGCAGATACACAGCTACATTAACGGCAGAAAATATTAATTGCTCCGTCTGCAAGAATGCAAAACCACTCTAGGACACAGGAATGAGGAGTAACAGGGCAACAACACAATCTAATAGGGACAAAATAAAACCGAAGTGACACAGACACTATTAAGCCCTACAGAAAGTCCAGGCCAGTCTGGAGAGTCCAGATGTCGGGGCTGGATTCTTGGAGTGGTTGTGCTGCTTTAATTCATGTTTTTATCATGACTGACACGACAACATCTTCATCCTGACAAGAAAAGCCAAAGTACGCTGTCATGAACACCAGTTAATAAATGCATCGTTGCAGATTGTGTTGGCGCAGCACCTCTGGGTGCAGTTTGTCCCCACACTGATAACCCGCTCACCCAATCTCCAGCATCGCGGTGCCACCTTGACACGTGTAGGCTCACAGCCAGAAATACCACCTCATCCATTGCTCTGACGGGTTATTTTTTTCTCCATCCCCCCCTGTGAAGCTGTGGGCTGCTGCTGGTGCTGTCAGACCCACAAAGTCCCCAAGCCACCCCAATGCCCCCATTATGTGCACCTTTTCCACCCTTCTCCCCTTCCCAGGCCCTCATTGTTGCCCTCATCCCCTTCCAAGCACACAATTCCTTTTCAGACCCAGTTTTGCTGCCTCAGCATTCGGTGTTTCTAACACCATCATGGTGCCATTGACACCAGCCCTTCAAGGACCTCCCAGGAGGCTCCACCACAGGCCTCAGGCAAGCTCGATTTCACATCAAAGCTATAATTTCACTAACGAAACCCAAAACAGCAATTAGCGGCTGTTTCTCAGCAGGGAAGCAGCGTTTCAGCTGGCCTCCCTCCCATCCCCCTGCCTTCTCCTCACGCCACCTCAGCACCGGGGCCCGCGCCGCCATTACCGCCCACCCCCACCGCGGAACTACAACCCCCATCATGCCCCGCGGGGCGCTACAGCCTGAAGGCGGCTGCGGCGATATGTCGCGGGGGCCGCCGGGAGTTGTAGTTCTGCCCGTAGCGGCGCGGCGGTGTCGGTGAACGGGCGGCGGGCGGGAAGCGAACTACCGGCGCCCGGGAGGAAGCGGGGGCGGCAGGGCCGGGTCTGGGAGCGGGGCCGGGGCCCGGGAGCGGGATGCGGTGGCGGCCGGTGTGGCCGCCTCGCTGCTTTGGGGCGACGCCATGCACCCGGCCGTGGCGGTGGGGTTGGTGTTCGGCGGCTGCTGTAGCAACGTGGTGTTCCTGGAGCTGCTGGCCAGGTGCGGGGCCGGGGAGAGGTTTTGGGGGGCAGAAGGAGTGGTGAGGGGCAGGGGTTAGGCCCAGGAACGGGATCGGGAGTCGGGTGAGGGTCCCCGGGGCCGCAGGGTCTTCCTCACCGGCTTTCAGGACTTGTGAGGGGGAGGAAGCGGCAGCGGTGCCCAGGTGGGGGTCTCCAGGAGATTGGGGGGTGATAGGAGAGGATTTGGGGAGGTGGTGGGGCAGCCGGAGGGGATCTCAGTGTTTGTAGTCCCCCTGAGGGGTGGCCAACCCCCCCCTCACAGTTTGGGGGGCAGACCCATGCCCCGGGGGCTCCTCATCAGTGTGCTGAGGAGCCCGGGTGCGGATCGCTGGGCCTTGGCCTTGTGTCACCGTCTGATAGGTTTCGTGGGTTTTTTTGGGGATGTCCCTGTCAGCTTGGGCTTCTGTCCCCCTATCATGGGCTGCTTTGGTATCCCACCCGGGCACCGGGGATTTCCCATCTGCTGACACAGGGACCACCGCATCAGTCTGTCCCTCGAGCATCCCCACCACCCCTGCTCTCTGATCCCAGCGCTTCCCGCAAATAACAGCTGAAATCCCAAGGAGAAGACACGCAGAGGCTGGCTGGGGGGTCCCCGGGGATGGCAGGCAAGGCTGAGGGAACGTCGTCTGCCTGGAAATGTGATCCTCGGCAGCATCACGCGGCTGCATGGCCAACGTGGCGAGGGCAAGGAGTCCTTTGTGGCACTTGGAGTGGAGGCGAATTGCCAGGTTGTAGAGAGAGGAGGGCTGACATTTCGGGTATGTCCCGAGTGCTGTGTCACCTTCCTCACCCTGATGGAAGAAGGCTGGCGTGGCTTGGAAAAAGGGATGTTCTGTTGGATTTGTTTTCAGGGCTGGTCAGCAAGCTGTGAAGGCAAAAGTGCTAGACCTGACTGGAAAAAAGTAACGATGGGACTGGTTCTGTCTACAATCATAGTGAGTCAGTGTGGAACTGCAACCCCTGACCAGTACTACCTTCAGTCATGCCCAGACTTTTGAAACTAGGAGGTAAAACCTGCCCTTACTTCCTCCCCGCCCATTATCATCCCAGATTGTTAAGAGAAGAAGGGAGTGCAGAAGAGAGCCTGACTGTAAGGAAGCAGTGGGGATATTTGTTTTGAAGTGTGTACCTTAACACAGGGTTGCACAATCACTCAGCAATCCCGGGATAAATCAAGAAGCAGTTCCTGGAGGAAGAGACCTTGCCTGGCAAATTGTCTTTCCTTTTGGGGATTGCTCTAACTTCTGCCTTTCCTGCCTGGCTTGTGCTGCAGCATCAGTGAGGGAGGAGGAATAGGCCCCTTTGAGCTGAAGAGAGTCTTGGATCTGGCTTCTTGCATTTGCTTGTCACAAGGCTTGTCTCTCTTCCAGCCAGGCCTGAAAACAAAAGCGAGCTATTTGGCCCTGTTCAAGGGGTGAATTAGGTGTCTAAACCTGAGAAGGGATTTTGAGCAGCAAATCCCAGAAGTCCGTTTGCAGACTTTTCAGGGAAAAGCTGCTTTCCACACACAAGCTTTTCTTAAGCATTGCTTCTTATCCACTTTAGAAATTCCCCTGTTCCTAACAACTCAATAACTGTGCCCCTCACTTGCCCTGTTCAACTTTGGTCCCTAAATTAGGGTAACACTGGTTATTTCTTTGGGTCTTGGTGTTACCTGGAGGGAAAAGTCACTCCTGAAGATGAATCTTCCCATAACAAGCAAAGTCCTGGAATAGGATCACAGGAAAAGACGGTGACCAGACTGACTGTCTAGTGAGGAATAACAAAGGTGATTGGAAGAAATTTGCTCAGGATTTATGAGGAAAGAATAAAGGAATGAGAACTGTTTAGTCTAGAGATGCCTGAGGGCAGACAAAAGACTTTAAATGTGTGGAGAATGGCTGCAGAGAAAAGGAGATAAATTATTCTGCTGGGCTCTGGAGGCAGAACAAGAAATAAGGGGCTTAAAATGGGGATGTAAAGCAGGCCAAAAGGACAGGTTTGCTCCCTCTTGGTGAAGCAGATTTGTAAGAGAGACAGCAGGGAAGCTCCTCGTTGGAGGTTTTCAAGAACAAGTTAAACTCTTGTCTGAGTAACAGAAGGGGGCCTGGACAGGGTGAGAAACATTGTGGAGTTCATCCCATCTCCCATGTCTGGAGCAACCTGTCCCCTTCTGCTAGTGTCCTCTCCTAGTTGAGCTGGGGAGGTCTATGAGCTGTGATGCCAAAGCCTTCTGAGGCTGTGTCCTTGTGAGGTGCCTTCTCTGTGAAAACAGTTAAGGCTCTGCATAGTAGATCTCGACAGGGTTTCTTCCTGGTGTGCAAATGGGGAGGTCGCTCTTCTTCAGGGGCCGTTGAAGGAATTCCCTGCGAAATGTGAAGTCTTCTGCAGTGTTGGACAGAAATCTTCCTTGGAGAAGTGGTTTGGGTGTGCTGAACTCAGTCTGAGTGCATCAACGTGCCCCAAACCGATGTGCAGAAATCGGGGCAGGCTGTTTGTGCTCCGCTGATGTGACCGAGAGCCCTGCTCTGGCAGCTTCATCCCACCATCTGCTAGAGCTGCTAGACACTAACAGCCCAGGCAATTCCGACCTAGCAGGCAGGGTGACAGGTGGCAATTACAACGCACTGTTTCTACATTGCTTCTGGAGGACTCTCTATGAGTTACCTACAGCTAAAGCAGATCTTTGGCTGATAAATCCAGATTTCTTGTTACTTCTTTTAAGTCTATCAGAGTGTTAGGATTGTGAGTCAAAGACATGGGCAGATACAGCCTTGGTTGTGGTTGTTTTTTTGTTTGTCTTTTTATTATCAGTCAAGACATAATCCTGTGTCAACACTTTACTGATAATGTGATGTCTGATGTACAGCAAGTGACTGGATGCAAGGATCTGTGAATTGGGAGGAAACAAAGTGGAGTGCATGGAAACCATCTTGGTTTATTCCAGATTTACACTTGTTTTGTATTGCCCTATGGAGATAAGGTTTACAGTCCTGGAGCCTGGTTCAGTATTTCTTTTCTTGCTCCAAGTAACTTTCGAACCTCTTAACCTCATTGGACAGCAGGGATTGAAGTCTCATGGACAATTAAGCTCTGAAAAATGTGAAAATTGGCAGGTGGGTAGCAGGGAGGGGCTCAGGCTAGTGCCTACCCTGTGGAAAATGCAGAGAGAGAAGAACATGGCCTTTCCAGGTGCCGTTTGGGGGTAGCCACGTGCCAGCTCTGCATTAACCAGAGCACTGCTGCTGCTTCTGAGAAGTCAGGGGTGACAGAGGAAATTTTTTGGAGGAGACCGGCCCTTCAGCTCTGCTACCCAGGAGACTGCTTGGTTATTCCTGTTCTCCAGTGCATCTCTCAGCTTGCATTCTGCAAAACTGTGTCTCAATCCAGCCTCGAACTACTTGTGCTGGCATGTTGGGTGATCAAGCTGCATGCTTGTGCAGTGGGGTGGGGACTGGGACTCAGCGGCGTGCAGCTTCTCCATCAAATCCTTGGCCTTAGTTTTTTGTTTTACACCAGAGAAGGAGAAAGTACTCGCTCAACTTTCTGATTCCCACTGCAAACAACAGCGAGCTGTCTGGTTATTTGACATGTCACAGCCTCCTCTGAGCCCACAGCTGACTGTGCCTCCCAGGAAATCAGCTCCTGCTCCCTGTAAGCTTCTTAGGAAGGAGGCAGTGTTTACAGCAGACATATCTGCTAGGAATGGGTGAGCAGCATGCAGGGGGTGTTTGTTTAACGTCAGGCTGGTATGGGCTGTCTTGCCCTTGCGTGTAATTCCTCTTCCCTCAGAATAAACACCCACGGTTGATTTGCTCAAAGGTGGTGTCATTTCTGCTACAAAGATAGTGAGAACTGCAGTGCCTGGATCTGCTTGGGAGGACAAAGATGCTCAACTAAGAGTGTCTCTTCTTTGAGGCCAAACTGTTTTGTGGTCTTCCATACCTTGTGGAGTTTGAAAAACTTCAGTGCAAAGCATGTGTCACATTAGCAAACTCCCTGGCTTGCCTGATTGTCACGTGGCATTGAATGCCACAACCTTTTTGGGCTTCTGTGATGAGCTGTTGTAGATTCCTTCTTGAACCTACAGCCAACCTCTTGGCATCCAGCAAATGCAGGAGGGCAGGGAGCTAAAGCTTGCCGAGTAAATTGGAAGTAAGTCCGAGCTCATGTTCATAAGTTCTGGGGATGGGGTACAAGCAGAACTGTGGACACTACGCTTTGTTCTGCAGACACAGACCTGACCTTGGCCCTTCCCTCATGCAGTGGAAGTAAGGGCTATCAGAAATCCTGCTGCCTTCCTCCTGTGTGGACTCATCGTTTCCCTTGACCTCTAACAAACACAGCAGCTTGTAGGTGGGGAGAGAACTCTGTCAAAACCACTTCCCCATGAGAAGGAGGGAGATCCAGCTTCAGTATGGTTATATCAGTGCTTGATGTTGCTTGTTCAGATCCTATACCCTGGTGGGATGCTATACAGACATGTGAGATGTGACCAATTTCCTCTTTCATTTCCTGTTCCCATTCACCACGTGCATCATGATGGGGGTGGCTGCTCGCTGCTTCTTTAGAAATGTTTGAGGAAGGAATTGCTGCACATGTATCTACAAGTACAGATGAGTAAATAAGTGCAGGGAAGTGTTTAACAAAGGCAGCATGAGAACCTGGACAGATAAAGTGGTAAAGCCCCTCCAGATTGATGCTTGCTCTGGGTTGATGAGCTGTTAGCTGCTTTTTCTTGGAGCCCAATGCAGTGTTTGTTCTCCATGGCATTGCTCTTATGCTCGTCTGTCTTCTCCATGCCTGCAGGCAGTTTCCAGGATGTGGGAACATAGTGACATTCTCCCAGTTCCTATTCATCGCAGTGGAAGGCTTTATCTTTGAAGCCAACTTTGGGAGGAAGAGGCCAGCCATACCAATAAGGTACAGTCAATCTGAATGCTTTTGCTAGCCACTAAATGACTAGCTATCATCTCAAGAAATGTTTAATAAAATGGCTTATCCATTTATCCTGTCTAAATCCCATCCATCCTTCAGCATTTGCAAAGCCCCATTGAGAACCTATCATGCCTGATAAAATATGAACTCATTTATTGAGAATCCTTAATAGGAAATGGCCATCAGATACTTTCCCATCCAAGAAACGGGGCAGTATTTTGCACAGTTAAAAGTGTTTGCTGTGTTTGAAGCGGTTGCTATCTCTCTGGGGCTTGTTGCAGTGGACGTGAGGGGGACAGCTTCACTGGAATCCTGACCAAATTCACTTTTGCATTTCTCTGTCAGGGCTGATCTAGTCCTGGCAATGGCCTGGCATGTTCCTGCTCTCCTCCCTGGCACTCAGTGGCTGAAGCAAAGTGAGGAGGTTTTGTGAGGCTCCTTAACAGACTGCCTAGCTTGTGGCAAAACAGAGTGCTGTGCTGAGTGCTTGGGACAGAGATCCTCATGACAGAAAGCTGAGGGCAAGTTTTCATGGCTGCATCACAGAAAGGAACTTCAATTTGTGGTGGCTCTCTAGCTTAGGTGTAGAACCATGGAGGTGTTCAGCCCAGATTTGAGTGTTTTCTCCTTCCACTCAGGGTAACGATGCCTGCTGGCAGAAATTGAATCCCCTCAAATCGTGCCTTGTTCTATGCCACTGTGCATAGGAGAGGGGTCTGGAGGAAGTCCAGGGTAATAGATCCCAGCTGGAGTATCCTCAATTCCCCTTTGCTTCTGTGATTAGCACAAGCTGAGCCAGTGCAGGTCAACCTGCTTCCTGTTTGAAGGACTTCCCTGCTACATCCAAAGAGGATTTATCTCCTTGTTATTCCTTGTCACAGACCCAAGAGCTGGGTGGGCTCCTGCTCAGCTCCAGACCCTTCCTTGCAACCCATAATCTTTTCCCAAGGTGTCTCCCATCATCCCAGGGAGGTACATGCACAGCCAACAGCTGTTTTTTGTGTGTTTGTGTTTCAGGTACTATTTTATCATGGTGGCCATGTTCTTCACTGTCAGTGTGGTGAATAACTATGCCCTGAACTTAAACATTGCCATGCCACTGCACATGATCTTCAGATCAGTGAGTACTGTCATACCATCCTTTTCCTCTTCATGTGACATCTCTTCCCATCATCTCTGCAAGCACTGTCCCTGGTGCCTGTGTTCTACCACTCTCTCTTTCCCTTAGGGCACCGAAACCCTGTGCAAATACTAAACTTTAGCTAACTTGCGAGGAGAGCAACCTTGCTCTGAAGGCTCAGCTCCAGTTCTCAATTTCAGTGTTAATCATTAAATTTCAACTGAATGGACAGACGAAGAAACTGAGGTTCAGACAGGCTTCGTATTTACATTTGGTCTAGTTCCAACAGCACTGTTACTGCATAGGTCTTTGCTTTGGAAAATGCTATTAAAATGCATCTTCACTTAAGTGTAGATGAGTGTCAGGCTAAAACATCTATTAAAATCAAAGAAAACGAAGCCTTAGCTGTTGGGAATAACAAAATCTGCTGGGTTGGAGCTTTTCTCCCAGAACACATCTTGAGGATGACATACCTCAAGTCTGGAGAGGTTAAAGAGAAGAAAACCAGACAATGCTCCGGGAGCCCCGGCCCACATTACCCGTGAGGTATGGTTCTTGTATTGCAGCCCTGCAGTTAATCTACAGAGCCACGCTCCTGATCCAAATTAAAAATCCACAGTGATTTGGCCACGTTCTGGTCTGTAGCATGCCCCAAGTATCACGAGTGGACCAAAAAAGAGAGAGGCCCACCAGCCAGAAGATCCTAGTAGCCTGTTTGCCCCAGCATCCTTGTTCCCAAGCCACCCAGCTCAACTTCTCCCCTCTTCCCCACGCTGTCAGTCTCCCTGATCCTGTTCTGGCATTTCTGTTGGTGTTTTGGCGTTAGTTGTATTGTGTTTGCAGTGTTTATCTGGGGCGGGCATCCCAGTCCAGGGAATTTTGTCATACTGACCTTCTGTTTTCTTTTTCTCCTCCTCTCTCTTCTTTCCCAGGGCTCTCTCATAGCAAGCATGGCTCTAGGTATCATCATTTTGAAGAAAAGGTAAATCACAAGACTTTTGTATCATCAGAGAATGCTTTGCCATTGACTTAATCTTGATGGGTGTTTAGTGCCCTTCCCTTTCCTGTTAAATATTCTTGTTTTACTGATGGGGCAGCTGGGGCGTGGAGGTTGTACCTGAACTGGAGGCTGGTGTAGTTCCCTCTTCTGCATTCCCATCACCCCTCACTCCTTCATTTAAGGCAAGCATGGACTGAAAAGAGAGATTTTACACATGACTGCAGCCTCCTGTGTTAGCTCTTTTCCTTCCTCTTATTTCTGTGGGGCTGGTACTGCTCCTGACTGATGGGTGTACTGGGTCTGGCTGGGATGGAGTTAACTTTCTTCATAGCAGCCCATACGGTGCTGTGTTTGGGATTTGGGGCTAAACCAGCCTTGATAGCACACTGATGTTTTGTCTACTGCTGAACAATGCTTACACAGTGTCGAGGCTCTCTGTTTTTCCCACTCTGCCCCACCAGGGAGTAGTCTGGGGGTAGACAAGAAGTTGAGAGGAGATACACCTAGGACAACTGACCCAAAATGGCCAAAGGGATATTCTGTGTCATATTCCATCATGTGCTGTAATGGAAATCACGTTAGAGGAAGAAGGGGGTAGGGGGGAGTTGGTTTCCAAGATGGCCATGGTAATGGCGATTACCAGAGGTGGTAAGTGATTGCCTTTGCATTGTTTTTGCTGGTTTCCCCCGCCTGCCCCTCCCACCTGTTAAACTCTTGAGCTCAACCCATGAGTTTTCTGGTTCTTGCTCTTCTGGTTCTCTCCCCCATCCCACGAGGTTGGGGGAATGAGCGAGCAGCTCTGTAGGTGCTTGGCTGCTGGCGGGGGTCAACCCACCACAGTGGGCAAAGCCATCAAGGACAGGAGGGTCCTCCCAGCTGCTTGGGGGTCTGGCTGTTGGACCTGCGTGGGCACATCCCCTGCTGCTCCATCGCTATGCAGAGATCCATGCTGGCTTGGATCTGAGAGGGATCCTTTGCTGCGGGCGAGGAGATCTTGGTCCAAATGCTTCTTTTTTTTCTTGCAGTTGGAGTAAGTTGGACTTCCCTCCCAGCAATGTCCAGCGTTAGGTAGCATCTATGTGCCCACTACCCCAAGTTCACACCAGTGTGATGGAGCAAAACACAATGCAAGAGAGCGGTAGATGAACGATGCGAGACTGGGCTGGGTCACTGACATCTCTCTTCTCCCCTGTGCAGATACAGCGTATCTAAATACACGTCCATAGCCCTGGTGTCCGTGGGGATCTTTACCTGCACTTTCATGTCTGCCAAGCAAGTGGTAAGGATTGGAAAGAGCCTGAGGTCATAGCTGTGAATCTTATTGATGGGAGGAGCTGCCGTAAGCACCGTCATCAGTAATTCCCTTTGCCTAACTATTAAGGGAAAGACAAGATGTCTCCTAGCTCTAAATATGCTCCCCAAAAGCTTTTGTGCCTGGTCTCATTTTCCTGGCATTTGGAGGGAAAGGATGCAAACACACATGTGTGGTTTAACTTAACTACGGATGACTTTTAACCTTTTCAGGTTGCTTTTTGCTGAGAATAAACCATTATTTTTTTGCCACAGAGATAACAGAAGCCCTTACTGTGCCCTTGCCGTGATGTGTTGCAGTTAGGAGCAGGTGAATCTTAAACAAAACTCAGCTATCCTAAGTCTTTGCTCATTTTATCCCAGAAGAGATTGTCAGCTTTCAGGCGAGATTTTTCCAGACCTGTTGTCATCCAGTGTGACTTTCTGTGACCCTTGAAATAAAGTGCATATATTTGGAGAACAGGAGGGAGCGGAGAAAATCCATGTGTAACACCAATTTGGGCTTTTCCTGGGTCAGCACCCACAGCCTGATCTTGTCAACTGAAGGCAGAAAAATGGCATAAAGTGGTGGCCAAGTGAAAATTGGTTGCACTTAATCCAGCTCTGAGAGATTGGAAATGAAACAGGGCTGTCAAACCCACGAGTACCCCATCATTTAATAGCTTTTTATACTCTTAGAATGTCTGAGGAAGGTCTGCGCTACGCAGCCTTGCTCAGTATTAATCCAGATAAACTCTCAGCAGGCGTGGTGTTTTGGTATAGCACGGACAGCTGTGGCAAAGGTCAGTAATCTAATTTGCCCTAAACCACAGCGAAAGGAGAACTGAGCCAAGTCGTGCTACCTGGAGTTTTACCCTCTCTAGGCCTGCTTTCCTCCACGTCTTGACTGCAAGCCAGAGCCCTGGGTTTAGTACCTGACTGGGGCTTGGCCAGAGCCCCTGTTCTTTCCTTCACTCCCACCTGAGATGGGGATGGAGGAGCCTGTCAATGGGCTGTCTGTGAGAGCTTCCGAAGCGCCACTGATTATTTTTGAGCTTGAAGAGCTCGGTCTCTCGCCAAGCCAGGGCATTTCTTTAAGAAAAGCTGCTTTCTTGATCAGATCTCTATCGCTGGAATATGATGCATTCCCTGAAGCAGAGTGGAAAGCAAAGCGTGCTCTAGTTGCTACCACCTCTGTTTGGCCAGGGAAGCAAACTCTGGAGAATGTGAGACCTCAGGGGGGCTTGGCTTTGTGGGCTCGCTTGGAATACAACTCACAAACCAAGACTGAGGTACAGGCGGGTCTGGATGAGCTGCAGGGACACGGTAGCTCGTGGTGACTCTGTTGTGTCTCCCTCTACCAGGCATCTGACTCCAGCTTAAATGAAGAGGATGGACTCCAGGTTTTCTTGTGGTGGCTGCTAGGTATGTGAGTGCCACATCTCCAGCCGACCTCGCTGGGATACTGGCAGGGCTCGGCTCTCTGATGTCCTTGGCTGCGTGGGTTGTGCAAAGCAGACTGTGGTGGGAAGCCCCCGTGCTGAGGTTAAGTTGTGCTGAGCGTCTGGTGGATGCTGATTTGCGAAGAATGGGGTTTTGTGGCACTCCTTAGCAGCTTTGTGCAAGGAGATACTCTTCATTTGGCCAACAAGTTAAATACGGCACCTAAGGGGTTTCTGTGAGGTAGTGGCTTAGTTACGGAGTGAGACTACAGTCATGCATTTTGGCAGGTATCTTCTTGATTTCTCTGGGCAAAAGCAGCCCTACCTGATACACCTGATGCTCTGAGGTATGCTGCAGAGAGGGGGAGGGGCTGTAACTGGTTCAAGTATTAGTTCAGCACAGTGTTTCATCAAGGAGTCTTTAAAGTCTGGCACTTGAGTCTATTTTTATACCTCCAACCCCGGTTTGTTGCTGGCTTTTCGGGGAACCTGGGATTGATGTATTGGCAGTAGTGGCAAATGGCTGTATCCCTGGCATCCCACCAACTCCATGTGCCAGGGCTGAGTCTCTTTTTCAGAGGTGTTCTTTTCAGAAGTCTCTTGGCATCTCAGCTGTTATAATAAGATACCTGTGTCCCCAAGACCATTATCAGTTTTCTTATCAAGGCTGGATGTTTTGACTTTTTTCACTGAAAGCCAAATTGTAGGAGTCTTCAAGCTGGTTGACTTGAGCAGCGTTGCAAGGCTGTGCTTCTGTTCCAGGTATTGCTGCGCTCACCTTCGCCCTCCTCATGTCTGCCAGGATGGGGATTTTCCAGGAGACTCTCTACAAGCAGTTTGGGAAGCACTCCAAGGAGGCCCTTTTTTACAATGTAAGTCACCATGTCTTTTCTGTTGCTTTTACTGGGCAGAAAGAACTGCTGGGAGAGTGCCTTCCTCTCCCACCCTGTACCCAGCCCGGATCCAGAGGATCACACGCTGCCAGGCTGGAGCAGTGAAGAGTGTTCTCACATCCAGAGCTGTGAGCCTGGTTTCCCAGGGTGAGAAGTGGGGTGGGTTCATGTAATCTGTTAAAGGTCTTTACTTTTCTCTCCAGCATGCGTTACCACTCCCTGGCTTTCTTCTCCTTGCCCCAAACATCTACCACCACGCAGTCCTCTTCAGCCAGTCTGGTAAGTGTGGCACAGACAGATCCTTGCTCTTGTACCTTTCTGTCCTCTGGAAAATGTTGTTGGAAGCTTTCAGTCCAGCAATTGTGCGTGTCAGACTGTCATCTTGAGATATCCAAGCCCTTTGAATTTTCAGGTTTGATAGAAAGCCAAAAGCCCCAAAAAAAAAGAAAAAAAAAAAGAACCCCACACGTTGGGCCAGATGCCAGCATGCTGGGCCAGGTGGAGATTGCTGACTGCTGAGAGCCGGGCCGTGGGCGGCTGGCCGGTGAGCTGGTGCCATGGCAGCTTGCAAAGCTAAATCCTGAGTTACTGTTTGGTTCACTGTGGTTAAAGCCCAAACTTCTCACGGCTGCACACACACATACCTGTTGGGCCCAGCCGATTTGCTCATCCACCCACGTTAAGCTATACATCTCCTTAAGTTTAATAGTAACAATCAATGTGTTTCCTAGATCCCTGACCTTGTGAACCTGCAGGGAGCTTTGCTGAATAGGTTTGCTGGTTCTCCCTCTGAGGAGGGAGATGGGTTGCATGCGTAGATCACTTTAACCTGTTCATTAATACCATTGCAAAATATCTCTAGTGTGCTACACCTATCTCAAGGAAAGCGTGAGGCAACCCTTGGGGAAGGGGACGTGGTAGTTCAAAAATGGGAGAAACAGGACCAAATCCTCAACCGCCGGTGTAAACGCAGACCTGTTGGCTTTTATTTTGCTGGTGCCATGCAGGCTTTGCCATGCTAGTGCTGTCAGCCTCTCGGAGCTGCACTGATTCATCCAGTTTTAACAGCAGGACAGCTCTGATATGAGAAAGCAAATCGGAGCTTTTCTTTCAATGTCTTTCTCCTTAGCCTACTTCTTCCTCTGTCTTCCTTTCTTCCCTCTGGAATTCCAAGCAGAAACATCTGCAAACTCTCTTCTATTTGTCATTTACCACAGTAAGAACAAGATAACTCTCCATTTGGAGCAAAATCAAAATGTACCCACACCTCAGTCTGCCTCCTGCAGCGATGACCTCCTGAAGCTGCAGTGTGTCCCGGATCAATCCAGGACAGGAGAGACACACCTCCCCTTGCATCTTCTTTAAGCCTGAGCAGGGCAGTGACCTTGCTCCATCCTTTCTCCCCGCAGAGCCGTTCCAGGTCCCGGTGATCGGGCTGACCTTGCCAATCATGTGGTTCTACCTCCTCATGAACGTCATCACTCAGTATCCTTTCAGTGCTCAGCTGAGACGCGCCGCGGAGAGGGCGGTGGGGTGGGAGAGGAGGAATGGAATTGGGGGTGCCATGTCCTTGGAGCCTTCCCTGCATTTGGGAGCTCACGTTCATGTAACTCTTGGAAAATACAGTGTGCAGTTTAACTTGGGACTTAGGGTGGCTGAACCACTTGGCCGCTATCTCTTGGAAAATACAGAGTGGAATTTAACCTGGGGGTTCTGTTATTTCCAAGGTGGCTGAAATCTGCCACCACCTCACCAGGGACAGGCTGATTGGTGTAAACTCATGGCAGTTTTTCTAGCCAGCTCTAATTAGAAGAGACAGAGCAGGAATTATTTGTACTATATCGGTGTGTGGAGTCTTCCAGGTGGCGAGGCCAGCTCTGAAAGTCTGAAGTAGCTGAGATACCTTCAAGAAAGAGGCCCTTCAGTCCAAGGCCCTTTTACCATTTTCCTCTCACTGTTGGAGAGGACTGTACTCTGCTGCTGCTCACACTCCTCCATGAAACCCCCTCATTTAATCTGCCTTTCCTGTGCCCTGTTGGGACGGACAGGGGACTTCTGGTGGGTATAAATGGAGAAGTCTGACGCTGGCTTCCCTCGGCTCCATGGCAGGGACTGTAAACGCTGCGTGCCATTAACCTTTTGACAATACATCACCCCCAGCTGCTCCAGCGGGGTAGTTTTGCTGTCCCAGAGCAAGCTTGGGGGGAGTCTGGGAAATTTAGGGTGTCCCTGGGGTTTGTAGTGAAGCTGCTCATCGCTGTAGAGATGCTGCCGTGAGGAGAAGGGAATTTTATTCCCTCTCTAACCAAACTGGGGGCTGCCCTTTGCCTGCCCAGGTGTCCTCCCTCCTCAGCTCCGTTGTCCCCTTAACCTCCGCCCGCCCAGGTACGTCTGCATCCGAGGCGTCTTCATCCTCACCACGGAGTGCACCTCCCTCACCGTCACGCTGGTGGTGACGCTGCGCAAGTTCGTCAGCCTCATCTTTTCCATCCTCTACTTCCACAACCCCTTCACGGCCTGGCACTGGCTGGGAACTGCCTTTGTCTTCGTGGGGACTCTCATGTACACGGAGGTGTGGAACAGCCTCGGGCCCTTCCTGGCCCGCTGGAGGAAGAGGCCAAAGGAGGAGTGACAGCCAGGGACTCTTTGCAGTGACCTTTTTATTGTTTTATAGAGCAGAGCAGCAGGGAATCCCCCAGAAGGGGGTTTATTTATAACATGGGGGAGGTGTTGGCTGTGCCAAGCTCCTGGGAAACGTGGAGCCACCACTGGGAACTTACCTGAAATGGATCATGGAGAAACAATACGGTTATTTTTGCAAGGTTGCATTTCTTTTTATGCAACCCCTTTTGCTTCCAACCTCTCCCCCAGTTGTTTTTTTTTTTTTTGTTTGTTTGTTTGTTTGTTTGAATAACCCTTTTTAAGTAATGTAAAAGCTGACCGAGTTCTCTTAGGAGCCCAACCTTGTTGAGGTGCTGTTGTCCACTCCTCCCAGCTTTGATGAGCTGGACCCTGAGCCTGTTTGGTGCCGTCCTTTAATGTCCAGGTGGCCGTAGCGGATAGCTGAGCCCCGGGGAACTGCTGTTAGTGCAGTTAGTTACACTGGAAATGCCAGGGCTGGCTGTTAACCTGAGTCCTTGGTGCCTGCTCCCACCACCTGTGCTGGGAGGGTGTCAGATACACCTGTAGCAGGAGCCTTCCAGTCTGCCCAGTAGATCTTCCACTGGGAAATGGCTCAGGGGGTCGATTCCCAAGCCGCCAAGCCCCCACCACTAGTAGCAGAGCCTGCTTGGGAGCCTGAGGAAACCAAAAAGGGCTGATGCTAAGGGACAGACAGTGCCACCGTGTCACCTTCACAGCCTTCTCAGGGAGATGGTGAAGTGCTGTTGAGGCTTCGCTGAGTCCTCGGATGTTGCCCCGATAATTCACCAGCTGGAAGGTTTCGGGGGTTCCTCCTGCTGTGGTTAGATCCTCAGTGCAGGTCACTTTTCAATCACTTTCTACTTTTTTTTTTTTTTTTTTTTTTTCCCCCCTCGTGACAAGCGTGTGCAGTGGGCTTCGTTACCAGCCGCAACGAAGTGTGCTGAGCCCCCCACTGTGCCTCTGGTCCCCCCAGATCCAGCCCAACCTCAGGGTTCAAATGATGCCAAGAGACTTAAGAAGGGCCAGTACAGCTGAGCTTATTTCTGCTCCTGGGGCGGGGGGAAGGGGGCGTCTTGCTTTTACCATCCCTTCACTCTCTTCTCTTTCCTTTTCCTTCTCCCACCCCTTGAGCATCAGCTTCACTCGTGGCATTTCTGTGCATCCTGCAGCATCCACCCAGCACAGGACGGGTGTCCCTTAGTGTCACCTCTCTCCTGGGGCAGCAGTGGCCTCCGGGAGCTCCAGCTCTGTGTCCCAGCGAGGTGAGGAGCAGCAGCTCTTCTAGGAGCAGCTCGGTGTTGGGCAGAGCAAGGCTTAGCATGCAGCCTTGGGTCGCTCTCAGCGCAGCTCAGTTTTTCTGGAGCACCTTGGTTTTCCTCATCCCGATACCGTCCCCGCTCAGCCGGGATAATTGAGGCATCCAGCAACGTCGACCTGATTGGCCAAGTAAGGGTTGTACTCTGTTATTCTTCCACCCAACGTCCCCATGGCTTCCAGCCTCGGTGTTTACAGCCCCTCCAATGTTTAAACCAGTGGTTGTGGTGGGGTAACCCCGGCCAGCCACGGAGCGCCACGCGGCTGCTCACTGTTCCCCACAGTGGGACGACTGGGGAGGGGGGAACGGGAAGAGCAAACCCGAGAAAACGTGTGAATAAAGACGGTTCAGAGTAAAGATGGTTTAATAGCAAAGGAAAGAGCAAGAGGGTGGGGGGAGAAGAGTGCTGCAAAGGCAACCACCAGCCCAGCCAGTCCCCATGCAGTGGCCACCTGCCCCAAAAACCCCTCCCCTCTGTTTTTCTTGCTGATTTTTCTCCGTATCAGTTGTCCTGGCTGTGCTCCTTCCCAGCTTCTTGCCCACCCATGGGCTAGTCATGGAAAAACGGGAAAGTCTTGATGCTGTGCATGAGCTGCAACACCGGGGTGTTGTCAGTGCTGTTTTAGCCACAAACCCAAAGCCCGGCACCATACCAGCCGCTACGGAAAAAGTTAACTCCATCCCAACCGGAGCCGGTGTGCTGCCGACGGGACCTGCAGCTCGCTCCTGCCTGAGATGCTGAAGAGTTTTCCCTTCTGAGCTTTCCTGAGCCTGAAAAAAAACAAACAAAACCCTTTTGTGTGTCAGACACGGGATGTTTTCAGGGATTTTGTAGATGGAGAGACTGTTTCCCAACAGCTGCTGCGGCACCTAGTGCAGGTCAGCGCTCGGTTCCGGCCGTTTGCACCAGCACCGGGAAGGACCCAGAAAGAGGCAAAACTTTTATCCCTCACCTTGATCTTCAAAGCTTCGCGGAGCTTCGGCTGAGACAGGGAGGTAGGCGACACAAATATCAGCTCACTGAGTAACTGGTGGGGTTCATCAATGTTTAAAACACGCGGGTGTAACCCCAGGCTGCCCGGCCGTGGCGGTGGGTGCTGCAGCCCTGGGCTGGGGATTTAAGCCAAGCAACAGCTGAGCTGGTGCCTGAGGGCGTGTAACGTGCTGTACCGAGCCTCCTCGCTCTTCCCATCGAGAAAATTGCACGTGGTCTCCAATCCCTGTGCGACGCTGGCAGGTTTGGGGATGTTTGGATTCCTCTTTTTTTTTTTTTTTTTTAACTGTGTGCTCTACATGGTCATCACTCGAATCCGGTGTCAACAGGGGGTTAGTCATTGTTGTCAGGGATATGGTTTTTAACTTTACAGGGTGCTCTGTGCGTTTCTGAGTATTTAGAACTGCTGCAGCGATTCCCTTCCTGCTGTAGGAGAGCGGGTGAGCTTGCCCAGTTGTGAGGTGGAGGCCAGGTCCAAGCAGAAGGGCCCCGTTAACCAAAACTAGTATTTGAATCCAGGACTCCCTCCCAAAGTGGGGCTGATGATTTGTTTGGTTTTCATGTTTGCTGTCAAGATAATAGCGCATATTTTTTAGCAGAGGCCAGGAAAAGGGGTGAGCCGAGATATTTTTGATCCATGTTCTGGATTTGCAGAGCTTTTAGGTTGGCTGGTTGGGTTTAGGGTGGTATTTGTTGTTGTGTTGTTTTTTTTTTTTTAAAAAAAAAAACAGAATAAATATGTGTCCTCTTCAAAGTATGTCGGTCTTGTTTCTCCTTCCACGCTTTGCTACTGGTGATCTGCTACGGGTGATCTGCTGCTGGTGACCGGAAAATTAAGGAGGCTCTGAAATCAACCCAGGATTTCTCCTGCCTTTAATACAAGAGACGGTAGGAAGGGCTCAGCCTTGCTGGGGTTTGAGAGAAAGACCCACCCCCCACCTCCCTCCCCCGCCGAATCCCTCACCCCCCATCCTCACCCACCACGCTGACTGGTGTTACTGGGGGGCAGGACCTACAGCTCCCTGGATGTGTCCTTGGCGAGGTAGGCTTTCCTACCCTGAAATCACATCTCTGCCTTTCTCTGCTCCAGCCTGTTTGCTTCTGGCCGCTGCCACCGGGTGAGGAGCTGCTTTTCTCAAACCCCCACGTGTCCCCTCTCCTCCTCCGGGGTGGCAGCGGCCGGGGGGGGAGCGCAAAGGCAACTGCAACTGGACCAGTAACCAGCTGCTGGCTTGTGGTGCCAGGAACTGGCCGGTTCCCTCCCTCTCCACAGCACTAAGCCAGGACCACCCGTCTAGTCCAGCCCTTCCAGCCGTGGTTCCCACTAAGGGGGTATGGAACCGAGAGCTGGGGGGGATGTGGGAGGGGTAGGAAGGCAAGAGAAGCAAAGGGTGGCCTGGAGGGAGGCTCCTTTTTAATTGCCTTTACAATTAAATCCATTAACTTGCTGCAGACAGTCTCTAATTGCACCCAGGTGGGCGAGTTGGGCAGCCGAGGAACCCAGCAGCACCCGCAGGGCTTGGGGGACGTGGCTCAGGGCAGCAGGTCAAGCCTGAGGCGGGTGGTACTGAGGGAAACCATCAGGATTTGAGGTTTCCCCAAGCGAGTCTCAACAGTTGGTTTAGGCTCTTGGTTTCTGGGAACCTCGTCCGTGCGGCGCAGAAGCGTCGCTTCGCTTGCTGTGGTGTCAGCCCAGGAGGGATCAAAATAGCAAAATGAAGCGTCAGTGCTTAACCATTAACTCAGTGGAGTGATCCACCACCCCACATGGGACCTGTTTTCTTTTTCTTTTTTTTTTTTTTGTAAATAGCAAGAAATGAAGTGATGACTCTGTGCTCTTTCCAGACCCCAGTGATGTCTCCATCACTGCAAAACCAGCAACGTGGTGTTAAAATCCTGGCCATCACTTCACGTCTAACACACCTTTAAACCTTCCCCATCTCAGAGCTTCAATGGGCACACTTAATTCTCCAGCAGTTACCATGTGTGTATATATATATATTTTAAATTTAACAAATCATCTTTCCCTAGACCCTGGCAGCTGTTTGTTTAATAAATCCTCATCGGCCAGGCTCTGCTTTCATCAGCGCAGAGATTTCTGTTCAAAATCTTTTGCCTTTCATTAACTCTGGGCTGGTGGTCATTAATGCTAGCGAGGGCCTGTTGCTCTGAGGCGCGGTGGCCACGCTGCAGCACACGTGAAGTCCTACAGAGATGAGCCAGGGGCTCCTGAGGTAATTAGGTGCCAAGAGGGAAGCACCAGTGAGATACTTCCAAGGAATTAAGGGCTGTTCCTCTAAGAAGGTGGCAGGGCCAGCAGCGCAGCTGAAGTGTCTCTACACCAACACACGCAGCGTGGGCAACAAACGGGAGGAGTTGGAAGCCACCGTGCTGCTGGGGAGCTACGACCTAGTTGCCGTGACTGAAACGTGGTGGGATGAATCCCGTGACTGGAGCGTGGCTACCGATGGCTGGAGGCTGTTCAGAAGGGACAGGCGAGGAAGGAGGGGTGGAGGCGTTGCCCTCTACATCAAGAAATGGATGAGTGTGAAGAGCTGCCTCCGAAGAATGGCCGCGAGCAGGTTGAAAGGTTATGGGTGAGGATCAGCAACCGAGGCAACAAAGGGAACCTCGTAGTTGGCGTCTACTATAGGCCGCCTGAAGGGCAGCCTGTTGACGAAGCCTTCGTGCTCCAGCTCCAGGATGCATCTCACTCCCAGGCTCTGGTCCTGCTGGGGAGCTTCAACCACCCCAACATCTGCTGGAAAAAGCAGCGCGGCGAGCTGTAGGCAAGGCAGGATCCTCCTGGAATGCGTGGAGGAGAACTTCTTAATAGAGGGCCCTACCAGAGGGGGGATGCGACACCGGACCTGCTGGTCACCAACCCAAGTGAGTTAATTGGTGATGTCAAGGTTGGAGGCAGCCTGTGCCTTGAGGCACGTCATGCGCTGGGGGAGTTGGCAGTCCTGAGGGCTGTGGGTCAGGCGAAGAGGAAAGTCAAGACCTTGAATTTTAGGAAAGCAAAATGCCAGCTGTTAAAGGAATTAGTCAACAGGACCCCCTGGGAAACTGCCCTCGGGGACAAGGGGGCAGAACAGAGCTGGTAGATCTTGAAGGACACTTGCCATAGAGCGCAAGAGCTCTCAATCTCCAGGTGTAAGAAATGAGGAAAGGAAGGGAAGAGCCTGCACGGATGAGTCGAGACCTGCTGGTGAACCTAAAGGGTGAGAAGGATCTGCACAGGCAGGGGAAGCAGGGACAGGTATCCTGGGAAGAGTACAGGGAGGCTGCCCGGTTGTGTAGGGTTGGGGTCAGGAAGGGCAAGGCAGAGCTGAAGCTGAGCTTGGCAAGGGACACGAGGAATAGTAAGATGGGTTTCTGCAGGTGTGTCAGCCAGAAAAGGAATGTCAAAGAAAGCGTAGTGCTCTGATGAGCCAGACTGGCAGATTGGTAACAGTGGGTGAAGAGAAGGCTGAGGCGTCTTTGCCTCAGTCTTCACTGGCAACTTCTCTTCCCACACCTCGTGAGTGGATGGACTGCAAGACAGGGACTGGAGGAGCAAAGTCCCTCCCACTGTAAGAGAACATCAAGTTCGAGGCCACTTGAGGAACTTGCATATACGTAAGTCTACGGAACCTGACAAGATGCAACCCAGGCTCCTGAGGGAACTGGCTGATGTAGTTGCCAAGCCGCCCTCCGTGATATTTGAAAAGTCATGGCAGTCAAGTGAAGTCCCTGGTGACTGGAAAAAGGGAAGCAATGCACTCGTTTTTTAGAAAGGGTAGAAAGTAAGACCCTGGGAACTACCAACCTGTCAGCCTCACCTCTGTGCCTGGGAAGAGCGTGGAACAGCTCCTCCTCGAAGCTGTGCTAAGGCACGTGGGGGACAGGGAGATGATTTGAGACAGCCAGCATGGCTTCACCAAGGGCAAGTCCTGCTTGGGCAACCTAGTGGCCTTCTACGATGGCATGCCTACATCAGTGGACAAGAGCAGAGCTACGGATGTCATCTAGCTGGATTTCTGTAAGGCCTTTGACATGTTTCTCTACAACATCCTTCTCTCTGTGTTGGAGAGAGATGGATTTCACGGGTGGATTGTTTAGTGGGTGAGGAATTAGTTGGATGGTTGCATCCAGAGGGGAGTGGTCATCAGCTCAGTGTCCAGCTGGAGAGCAGTGACAAGGGGTGGCCCTCAGGGGTCTGTACTGGGACCAGTACTGCTCAGTATCTTCATCAGTGACATAGACAGTGGGAGAGAGTGCACCTTCAGCGAGTTTGCCGATGACACCAAGCTGAGTGGTGCAGTTAACACACCTGAGGGATGGGATACCTTCCAGAGGGACCTGGCCAGGCTTGAGAAGTGGGGCCATGTGAACCTCCTGAAGGTCAACAAGGCCAAGGGCAAGGTCCTGCCCGGGGGTCGGGGCGATCCCCAGCACAAACCCAGGCTGGGCCCTCGAGGGGTGGCTGGAGAGCAGCCCCAAGGAGAGGGACTGGGGGGGCTGGTGGGGGGAAAACTGCCCGTGAGCCAGCCCCGTGCGCTCGCAGCCCAGAACCCACCCGTGCCCTGGGCTGCAGCCAGAGCAGGGGGGGCAGCAGGGCCAGGGGGGGGATTCTCCCCCTCTGCTCCACTCTGGGGAGACCCCCCTGCAGTGCTGGGGCCAGCTCGGGGGCCCCCAACAGCAGAAGGACCCGGAGCTGCTCGAGCGGGGCCAGAGGAGGCCACGGAGATGCTGGGGGGGCTGGAGCAGCTCCCCTGGGGGGCCGGGCTGAGAGAGTTGGGGGGGTTCAGCCTGGAGAAGAGAAGGCTCCGGGGAGCCCTTCGAGCGGCCTCCCAGGGCTTAAAGGGGGGACAGGGGAGGGGGGGGGGGGACTCTGGGTCAGGGGGTGGGGATGGGAGGAGGGGGGACGGTTTTAAACTGAAATAAAGTAGATTAGATATAAGGAAGAAATTTTTTATGAAGGTGGTGAAACACTGGCACAAGTTGCCCAGAGAGGTGGTAGATGCCCCATCCCTGGAAACATTCAGGGTCAGGCTGGACGGGGCTCTGAGCACCCTGGTCTAGGTGAAGGTGTCCCTGCCCATGGCAGGGGGTTTGGACTAGGTGACCTCTAAATTTCTGTTCCAACCCAAACCATTCTATGAATTCTTTCAATCTTTGCTTGGCACATCACAGCCTGGCTCACCAAGGTGAGAAACAAGAGAAATAAGATAGATAGATATATATATATATACATATATATATATTTTTATTGAAGCAAGAGGAAAAGCCTTGAACTCCTTTGGGAAACACGATGAAATCCTTGTCACTTCTAAGGTGCAAAAAACTTGCTCCCACCACTAAATTAAATAAGCGGGGCAGGAGAGGGATAAAGATGTCTCTGTAAATCACTTGGAGCCACACAGTTCATTTCTGTTCAGCATCTTTCATTATAGCAATCATAAATCAGCAGTTAGAGCCCAAGAGGGCAAGAAGGTGAGATTTATTGATGAGGGAAATTTGGGAGGGGAAGAGCTCAGAGGATACAGAACCATTTTTTTTGTCTCCAGCGCGGGCTCAGGCTCACAGGTCTCTGCTGGCACCCTTCCTTCTTTGAAAGCTGTCCAAAGGTTGCTGGAAATTTTTAGTATTTATTATTTTTTTTTTCCATTTCCATATAGTTATAACCAACTGGTTTTCATCCTTTGCTCCCCTCTCTCCCTGAGCGGCTGGAAGATGGATGTAGTGACCCTATCAGTGACCAGAGGACCTC